GCTTTTTTTTTATTGTGGTTTTGGGTGACAAAATTTGTGTTATATTTGAGTTCTTTATCCATTCATTCATCCCTGTCATTATTATCAGTTTTCCACGTTATTTTTTTAGTGCTTTTACTGCACAAAGGCCTAATTCACATCTGAGATAAATCATTTCAAATTACTGAAGTTGAGAGGAATGCACTACAAAAGCAACTGATCTTTAAACCGTGCTTCTTTCTCTCATAGAGATGCAAAGAAAACGTGAGTAAGAGAAGTAAGGAGACCTGTTAGTAGTGATGCCCGCTCAAAGCTGACGCTCCGGCTTGTGCGTCCAAAAAAACAACAACACACTGTATTCTGTGGTTTATAAGGAAATGAATCATTCGTGGGGTTTGATCATTCCACTGATCATTTTATTGAGAGATATGGAGCCAGCGAGGAAGGGAGGAGGTGGTTGATTTTAGTCATTCGAGTGGGTTTGCTAGGTTTTTGTTCTTGTTGTTTGCTTTTGTTTTGTGTGGGGGGCTTTTTTTTAAATCTGTAAATGTGAAAATGTAAAATGTTTTAACAAAACAAAAATCTGCTTTTCATAGTACAAATATCATTTAAAAACTTTAGAAAGACTTCCATTTGACTCTTTAAATTTTAATAAAAATAAAATATACATTTTATTTTAAAAAAAAAATCTTAAAATGTTATTCTACAAAATGTGCAGCAATTTAATGTGTTTAGTCTTTTTAGGTGATAGCCTGTGGGACCCAGGTAGACCGTATACCTGCATCTCTACCGACTTGCATTGCAGTTTATCTGCACTCCAGCTTCTTCTGTTTTAAATTAATAAAACCAAACAGGTTAATCCTAAATGCAGCATGTTTTTACTTTACAAGTTCATAAGCATTTTCCCTTTCCCCTGGTCAAAAATATGTATAAGAAAATTGGCCTAATATAATCTTATGTATAAACATACCTGTCTCATGATTAATTGTATAAGTACATGGAGGCAGGACCTCACAGCAGAACCATATTCCATAATGTGTATCATATGTATCTTTCATCTATTGTATTTACCAACATCAAGTAGTCACAAGCAAAGAAAGACCACACCATGACACATGTTTAAATAAGAAAAGTTTATAGTTTAAATTTATTAATGAAACAAATAGACATATTTTTCCCCCATTTTCAAAGCAAGACAAGCGTGGCCCAATATCAGACAGAATTGGGAACTCCAGTGGTCACTGGTCAGTCATAATGAAGCCATTTAATTTTTAGATTCAAGCTGTTCTTCATATTTGTGGCCACTAGATGTCACCAGAGATCACTGTGTTGAACGTTGAAGTAATGAGCGGCTTTTTTAAACACAAGCTTCGCTTGGCCATGATGCTACAAACACCAGAGGGTGCTGTTATTCCAACCCCATCAAACTGGATCACTAATGCTCTCTGCAGTGCAGCCAAGGAAAAGGCAACAAAAGACAACAAATCGAGTTTTCTCTGGCACAGGGGAGTATCATGACCATCACCATTAACATTTTTATTTCATCTGTAGTCTACTATCTGCACAGGATGTGCAGGATGAAACCGGAGACTATAATGAACCACACCAGGTTTTATAACTGAGAAAGAGTCATATAATGAGGTGAAAAAAGAAGAGCAAGATTACAGCCAAAGCATTTATGACAGACTGACATGTACTATGGCCAAGGTCTCATACCAAGCAGGAGGCAGGGCTTTTGATCTCAGGCTTGGATTTAAAAGTGCCTGAGAGCAGAGATTCCTAAGCAAGGAGGTGACTGTTTGAGACTCCTACAGGTGAGCAAGATCTTTATATAAACATTAGCATATGAAGTGAAAACTGATTTTTGAACATTTGGCAATCTCCTGTGTAGAATATTACATCAGTTAGTGGTAATAATCAAACAGATTTACACACAAATCTCAAAATTATGATCAAGATTATGACCTAAAAGTATTTTATGGACACTTGATATTGTGTTATATACACCAAGACAACTCTCTCTGAACTTGCTGTTTCAGAGCACAGTGAACCTGTACAGGGAAGCAGTGAGTGAGCAGTGATTCCAGTACATCAGTCTCTGAAAGGAAGGAGAAGTTTTCACATGGAGTCCAACGGTACCCCCAGCGTGCAATACGACCGCTGGAATGAGGAAAATATCAATATGAACGTGGAGGCTTCACAGCCTGTTCTGCGAAGGTGAGACTTGAAATGATGCATGACATTAAAGTTGCATATTTCCCAGTGGTATAGAGAAGCAAAGCTACAATGCACTGAATAGAAACAGAACTACACACATGAGATAAAACATAAAAATATAATGTATAGGTTTGATGGGGGGCATTGCAAATTCAGTTTCAAATTCAGCATTATACAAAAAATATACCCACATGTATTGTTTTAACCTTTTAAGCCTGAACCACTAAATAATTGATTCTTCCTCCCTTTCTCTGTCATTCACAGGATCTACAACAGAATGTGCACCGGCAACATTGGAATAGCAGTGAAGGTTGCAGGAGCTGTAGCTGCACTGGTGACTGTTTACATTATAGGATACATGACTGGATATCACATCCATCGATGCCCGTAGAATGAAGGAAGCCATCACAAGATAAAAGTGCATGGACAAACCATGAATTTATACAATGCTACATTAACAGTGAAAATCTTTGTGTTGAAGAGAATTCAAATCAACTCTGTAGCTCTCAGCTGTATTTTAAAATGCAATTGTGTCTGAATGTTTCTTGCCAAATTCATTCATTCAAAGGAAATTCACTCTTAACTGACATCAAGCACTGACAGCATTTTCTGAACTCTAGACAGCCTTTTCCTTTTTTGCTGCACACTGATTTCATTAGGCTTTCCAGCCCGTAATTAGTTTTCCAGCATTATTTAGCAAAGACATACTGATTTGTACATTCAACGGTATTTGCAGCTCCTAGATGAGTGTTCCACTTTTCAGAAATGCATCTAAACACAATCATCAGTTAAACTGTGCAGGACTGGCTGATTGCACAGCTTCTTAAAAAGGAGTGACTGCAGCAGTTGACTTGTTATAGTTTGTGAAACACTCTCCACAAACATTCACCAGCAACACACACAGGAATTTAATGTCCCAGTTATTAGTGCATTACAATTGTCTTAAAAAGCAGAAAAAGCAGCAATGATGAATTATCCTTATTATGGAGACTTTTAACACTCATGTAGCACATAAAATTCTGCTTTTAAAAAGAGAAATTAAGTTAATCAAAACTAACTGTGGCATCCTTGACTGATGCTTAGGTTAGAAATACAACAGCATCTAATGTAGTATTTCTGAATGAATCTGAATAATGTCTAACTAAACTCAGTTTGCTGGACGTTTCACTGCAGCTCCTTTATAATCATTCCTTCTTCTAATGCTCTGCTTTGAGAACTCACTTTTTGTTTCAAATAAATCCAACTTTTACTTTCATACAGTGTCTGTTGTTTATTTCATGCATTCGATTACCCTCTGGAAAACCTGCTCCAGATATTTACCATAGTCATATCTTTGTGTTTATTACGCCTGAAATATTAAACTATAAGGGCATCTAATCTTTCACTGACATTTTGACATTAACCTATTTGTAACATGAGAACAAAGTGGACAGGCTGTTTGGACTAGGAAATGACATGAAAGATTTGAAAGTGCACATTTAATGCTCTACATTTTTATTCTTTTACTCTGCCTTATCTATAGGGTAGCTTTTGTATGATTCACTTTTCCATACGTTCATCCGTTTCTACCATTTATACAGTAGAAAAACTGATGGATGGATGGTTTAAATATAATCTTTATGTATCCTATAATTGCCCTCAGTGAGCTTCCAAACAACATCCACCGTTTTAGCTCCTGTCCCTTTAAGGCCATCTTTTCTTAAAAGCAGCTATTCTCTGATTGGCTGCCATAACAGAAGGCGGCTGTGCTCACAGCCACAGCTGTGTGCCAATCCTTCCTCAAAGATCCCAGGTAAACGAAAAAACAAACAAACACTTGACTTTTAGTTCTGTGTTTATTTCAAAGTGTTGCACTCAGATCGCCTTCATGTCTTTATTCAGAACACTAATATCCTACAAGTATTGAATCTACAAAAATGTCTCCACTGAAATGAGATGTAGGACATATTCTACCTAATATGTACAGTATAATCTGCTGTTTACAAAAATAAATGAGTAAAATGAAAAAAAAAACAGCAGCACATTTCTGTTGCATTGTAAAACAGAAATATATCTGGCTGCAATGGGGCACATACTGCCACTATAACTGACATGCACATCAGTGAGTTTATTGAGTTCATGTTCTTTTTGTCCAGGTTAGCTCCGGTGGTTCCGGTGTAAATCACTTTAAGAGCAATTTAAAAGTCTTTCTTATCTATGAACAAAACTGTGATAATGAGGAAGGAAATGTAACTCCGGTAGCAATAAAGATCTCTGGATAACAAGTACAGTACAATAATTTAACAGCTTGCTGTGTCATCAATCAGTCTGACTTTCTACTACAAATGACAGTGGGTCTTCTTTATTTTATGCAATTAAAGAAGCGATCATCACTGAGAAAATATATGCTTATATATAAATATATTAGGTCTGATTATAAACATGAGCTCTAATACAGCATACCTCGCTTTCTAATGTAAAATTTAAACCACAGATGTTAATGCAAGGGCATAAAAAGTACATGTCATTTTATGACAAAGATGTCATGTAGCACAACTGGTTAAAAATACTGACATCTGTATATGGGGTTTGGCTAAGAAATTTCACTAGAATACGCAAATGTCCTCCGAGTTCTGTCTTTATACTGTCTCTGAAAACGGTGCGCCTTTTGTTATCATAAAGCTGTTAACAATGAAGAAGTCACTGTTTTGTTGAACACAGTTCACATAACTTTACGCATAATATAAATGCTCTGTTTACCGAGACTGTACTGAAATGTAGTGTGGCCTTAAAAAAAAAATCAGCGTCAAACTGTGGGGAAATCCGTGATCGTGACGTCACTGTGTGAAGGCAGCCGGGAGGCGGACCTGAAGGAGGACGGTTCACCTAACTCTACAGCGTGTCTGAGCAAAATGTAACATGGATGAGGAGATCGCTGAAAGTTGGGAAGAAGCTGCTGATAGTGGGGTAAATAACAAATGTCTCAATGTAGCATCGGTTAAAGACACATGTGCTTCTAGGCGATTCTTTTTAACGAAGGGGTTAGCTTTAAGAAGTTTCCATAACGCTGTTCAACGTTAACGGGTCTTACGGGCCAACAATGTGGCTAAAGCTAATGTTAGCTGTAAGAAACTTGGCGAACAAGTAGCAATAGCTTGACACTGAACCAGGCTTAACGCGGACTTTGCCAAGCAAACGACTGAAGCTGTTTGGAATAATTTCGCGTTGAATGTCGTTAATGTGCTAGATTTTTAGCTAACGTTGGCGAGGTAAGCACTATGGCTTCTGACGCGAGCTAAACCCCGGAATTCCAATTGAAATGCTAAGGTTCAAGTTGGCTAATGTAATGCTAAGCTAGCCATTTAATGCTCGCGTAGAAAATGTGTCAATAAAGTCAGTTTATTTGTCGGCAGGTATAGGCACTTCGCAGAAGAGCACCAGAGTCCATATTCCTATCTAAATTTGCCTCATATTCATTTCGGCATACATTTTTAAAGCTTAAAACATATCTTGGAAAAAATGACATCCCCGCGGTAACGTCAGAGCCAAAGCAGCCCGTGGATGGCGACAAGTCAATTTAAGGAGGAAATTTGTCAGAAAGTGAATATAAGCTTCTTTAAATAGGTACCGCTACGTTGATGTTCATTGTCGTGGGGCCTGATTGAAAGTGGTTGTATTGTTCAGCGTGTTCTCCCCCTCTCCTCACAAGGCCAGGCTGTTGATCGACTATTTCGGCCATGTTGTCAACTAGTTCCCGGTTTGATATCTAGTTATGTCACCCAACTGGTCAGTTGGTATCACTCAGCTAACAGTAGGTAGCTGTAGTCACGGTAGTTTGGCAAACGCTCGTTAGCTGGTGACGTCACGAACGTGGCTCTTGGTTGGGGTTGGCCGGAACTTCAGAAGCTCCTCAGGTTGAACTTGCGGGTTGATTTAACGTATCTTGCTGGGGGTTCGTCGGTACCTCTGCTAACATCTACATTTAGTTTTCGTTGGCAACATCAGGCGGCTAATGTTAGCAGGCGGAACACTCACTCTGTTATGACTTGGCAGCTGTTGTGCACATGTATAAATAGCTTGTAACTGAATCCCAACTTCAATCCACTTTCCCACTTATTGCCTGCTGAACTTCTTCCTATCTTGAAAGTTTCATTTGTTTATATGTATCCCCATGCATGCTGGTTTTCCACACAGGAAATGGAAAAACGGTTGGAAGAGAAGCTAAGGATCAGCCAGAAAGAAAAGTAAGGATTTTAAAGGTTGAAGAAAAATGTTATTTGTGTTCTTATGCTTCTTGCTGTTCCCACTATACTTGTACCATTTATAGCAATACCTGCTTTTGTTAATACAACTTTTTTTAAAGACTTTAATTCTATCCTCTAAACTTATTAGCACTCATTTGTAGCGGCCTCTTCCCATCTGTCATGTAAGTAAATTTACATGGACGGCCTCTGTTGTTTTGCTTCCAGGGATTCCAGCAATTCTTCAAGATCTCTGAAGAAAACCATGGTAATACAGGACGACTCCTTACCAGCTGCACCTCCACCCCAGATACGCATTTTGAAGCGGCCGGCGAGTAACGGTTCTCTGACCTCGGGCCCGAATCAGAACAGGCCTACACCGCAGGTCAAATCCCTGGCCCAGAGAGAAGCAGAGTATGCCGAGGCCAGGAAGAGAATACTGGGCAGCGCTTGCCCAGAGGAGACGCCTCAGGATAAGCCCAACATAGACAGGTAATACTCATCAAATATAACTGAGGCGTTTTAATCACAGCCTAACAAAATGCTTGCTTACTTTAGGGAGCTTAGCAGTCATTTGACAGAACAGCAACCTATGCACAGGCACAAGTATGAAGTTTGTGTTTCAGTCTAAAATGCAAGGGAGTCTCTTATCACAATTTCAAAATGGGGTTGTTTTTATTTACAGTTTTGATTTGACACTTGTAATCAAATGGGTGGACTTCATGTCCTCCCGCTCTGAAGATTACGGCTAATTAATATATCTTTTGGTTTTGGTTGAAACTTACACTGATCACAGAAAGCTTCCTAATCCTTTGCATTACTTAATGTGACATTATTTGAATAAAAAAGAGGAAGTTCTATTCATTTGATTTGGGTTTTGCCAGAATCAGTGTTAATGCAACCAAAGTGCAGTGGTGTAAAAGTTGAAAGTTTGTTTTTTAAAGACAAAACTGTAAAATCGTGTGCTGGTACTTGTCTCTCGTGACACGACAGGAATCCTTTAAGTAGGACAGTTCTGGAGTAGGACGTCCATTCAAAACAAAAACTATGACTGAACGTTGCCAACTGGCAGTGAGTTGTGTGCAGTTTGTGTCAAGCTGTTGGCATATGGAAAAGACTGCTGTCTCTAATTTATTCCTGTTTCTTTTTTTCTTTTTTTCATGCCAGACCAGGGCACAATAACTCTACACTGCCTTCAGAGGACACCAGATCAAACAGTCACACTGTCCGGCAGCCAACCGGCCCAGACGGTACCCAAGGGTTCCAACAGCACAGATAAGTGCACCTAGAGGGCCCCCCAGCCCCTGAGGGAGAGAGATAAAGGGTCTCTTGAGAGCAAATGCAGTACTGTATTCTTAAAAACGTCTTCCTTCAGTTCCCTACGTACACGGGGATCTATAAGTAAAGCATCCTTGCTGTCGGCCTCTTTCACAGCCGTCTAGGACCGACAGGGAGCGAGGAACTCCAGGAAGAAGTCCAATGAAAACATGCTCTCATCTCTCCCCACTTCAATCTGTTTGGCACTGTGATTATGGACATTTTCTGGACTCACTGTGATGTTCCCCTTTAAGAAAAGCCCCTCACCTCCATCTGTCTCCCCTCCGGTTCTAAGTGGCTTCGTCAGAGGATGCCAAAAGGACAAACAGAAAGACTTAAACAGAGGAGGAAAAATGAGGGGCCATGTTAAAATGAGATGAGCTGGTACTTGTGCAGCAGCTTTCTCCCAGCAATAAGACGTCACCTTTTTGTGTTTTTAATTTTCAGTTGTTGGCTCACTAAATTTTAATCTCAACTTTCTCTCGCTTGTCTTTATCAAATCTAGGGTTGTTCTGATATCTAACAGGTAAAAGTATGTCTCTCTCACACACACATACACCGCAAGAATCTGTTTAGAGCAGCTTTTTATATTGAGTTTGTTTTTTAAAATAAACATAGCATTTGCTGTTTTTAAGAAATAGGAAATATGTTTTCCACCTTTATTTGGTGGCAAAATCTGACAATATTACATGTTGGGTTCTTTGTATGGTTTAAACACCTGGAACTGCAGCTGGTGTCTAAAATGCACACACTGCTAATGAGTACTTGACTGAGATTTTAGATTTATCAGGACAACCTAATATGTAAATTGCCATTTGTTTCTTAAAACAGGGGTTAGGATTTATGTGGAAGTTGTATATCTGACAAGGTATGTTTACGGTTTTTTTTTGGTTTTTTTAAGCTTTCTGGCTGTCTTCCTTAGACTGTCATTTTATTTCTATTTAAAAGTAAAGGCAAAAAAGATGAGATGTTGGATTGAAGTCCATTTTAAGTAGCTTTCCTGCAGTTTTTTCTTTAAGAAGAGGGCAGCAATGTCAGAGCAGTATTTTTTTAACTAAAAAAGAACCAAAAGCCCTTTTTTAAAAATCAAAAACTAATAAAACAACAACCTAAAAATCATTATTTGAAGGTGATGTTGGCAGCAATTTAAAGAAGGGTCAGATGGTGAATTTACTGCTGTACCTCTCGAGCCTCACTGTCTTAACTCCACCTTGTTGGCGGCGTGCTTCTTTTCTTCATACACCCCACTGAAGTACAGCATGTAGGAACTCAGGTCAAGTGAATGAGGCTGAATGAATGAATAAGATTGTATTTTTCCAGCAGGGTTGATTGCTCATACAGCTAATGTCCGTATTTAAGTTTGGGTTGGCACTTAGAAACCGTGCTCTATAAATTGCAATGTAACTGAAATGATGTCTATGCCCCAAGGTGTATGAATGTTGGGTGTGTTTTGGTTTTTTTCCCCACCGTCAGCATTTTAGTCACAAGAATGGTGAGTAATGGTCCACTGCTTAAATGTAGCAGCTAGCTGCGATCCAGAGAGCAGTTGCCTGTGTGGCTTTCAAAGACCATTGTGTTCAATAGATTTTTTTTTTTTTTTTTTTTGGAAACAGAGGAGATTTCAAAGCCATATTAAATGGTGTGACATAAACACAAAAAGTTCTTACAGTGGTTGAATTCAGCTTGTGCCTCCTGTATCACATCTTTACTTCCTGGGTTTTTTTTTTGGTTGTGTTACTGTATTTCAAGAAACTGAGGGTGAGTTCACAGTACTGGTAAGCGATTTTTTTGTTCAGGAATTCTAACGACAGAGCAGGAGACGGGTTTAGCCAAGTGCGAACACAAACTGCCTGTAAATACTTTAATAAAATGATTTGGGGAAAAAAAATGTTTACGTTCAGTGCTTTGCATTGGAAAACACATTAAATTCATGGAAATAACTTGTTAAAAAACACGCAGCTTAAATAAAAATAGTTTATTATTGAAGACTTTGCATTGTTGGTCAAGTTGGGGATGTAGTTTGGGCATCTGTGGCATAGTTTGGCTCAGATTACAGTCACGGAAGGCCAAGCAGATGCTAGCTACAGCACAGAACTGTATCTGTGGGGGTCAGAGTTTGATTGAGAGGCGGCCATGATGTAGAGTCTGACAGAAGAGAGTCCAGCTGTTTATACTGTTTCTTAGATGGACGCTTCCCTCGCAGCAGTCGAAGGCAGTTCAAAAGACCCAGGTCTATCAGCACCTGGGAGGAAAAAACATGGAAGTGGTAGAATAATTCAGGGAATCTGTTGATATACAGTACTGCACAACAGTACTGAGGCACCCCTATACTTCATATTTTGCTCAGAAAATGACAAATTATTACTGTCTCAGGTCTTGGCTGGATTTCTGTTTATTTTATGTTCATCTAATATAAGTTACTTTTTAGACCCAGCACTTCTTTTATAATGAGAAGTGTGTTTGTTTGGGGTTTGTTTTGTTTTTTTTAAAGAAAAAGCAAGTCTGTGTCCAAAGAAAATTTTGAAAGAACTTCAGAGTCTTGAACTATTGCTCAAGACCTACTTTGCAAAACAAGCCTGGCTCCTTGAGAGCAAAGTGTGAAGACTTTTGCACAGTATCGTATCTCACTTAAAGCAATGAAAGCATCATTATTACTATTACCCCATTTAATTTGACCCCTCTGTCCCACTGCAGCCTCCGTTTAACAGTCTACAAGATGTCAAGGTTTGTGATACCGTGTGCCCTCTTGCTTCTTATTGTTCCCTCACTGTTAATTTTTTTTTTTTTAGATGCTTATCTATTTTATTTAACAAATGTGGCTACAGTTGTTAAATAATGTTCTATCAGTTACATCAATTCGCTAAAGAAAAATCCCATCTTCTTTATTCAGGCCTTCAACACCTCTAGAGTGGACTATGTGTGGTTAGTCCAAAATGCTGCTGTGCATCTTTTAACAGGCATCAGAAAGCATGGTCACATCACTCCTTTGGTCAGCACTGCTGCTTTTAAAATGTGCTATAATAAAAAAAAAAAAAGTCTACAGTAGGGCCTTATTCTAGCAAACATGTTCACTTTAGAATATTACGAGCTTTCTGTCACAGCCACTTTAAAGATGTCTGATTTCGTTGATTTTGCTGTGTAGTTTAACAGACGGGGAATCTGGGAAGCTCCGTACAAATCACTCACCTCCACGACAAAACAAATGAGGAAGTTGAGAGCAGCCAGACTAACGAGCAGCAATTTAAAATTCATGTCAGAGATGTTGTACAGTTGAAGTAACCGGCTAAAGACAGCCCCAGGATACAACACCAGCCAGGTTGTCACACCAAACTGGACGAACAGCAGGATAAGGAAACCCACTGGGAAAAGGAGAGAAAAAAAAACACTTGTGACTCAACTGTCCTGCATCAGTGATAAGTTTCACTAATGTTGAACTCAGTATGACTTTCATGAATAGTTCTAAATTTGTCCAAATGTATCGCCCTCCCAAACTGAAATTATCCTCCTTTGGCATTTGAACATGTTGACTCACTGTTGTGGTAGAGGGGTTTCTTGTGGGGGTAGCTCTTGGTGACCACCACTGACATGATGATGTACTGGAAACCAGATATGTCAAACACACAGGTGTTTTCGAAGTTTGGCAGATTGGCTGTTCCGACCTCAGTCTCATTGAGAGGAATATACCTAAAAATGAAGGAAGAGACAAATAAGAGTTAAAGTGCAGAACACGTGGGATGCTCTTTTTCTAAATCTGCATCTGAACACACAGAAGTCAACGTAAACAGTTTTCTTGAGGGCAGTCTGATGAGAAATAAAAGCTATTTTGCTGACCACTCCTCTGAGGTTGTGATGAAGAGCGCAGCCAGCTGGCCCAGAGCAATCATGCAGGTGTGGATGAAGAGGCTGCCCAGTACAGGCAGGGCCAACAGACTAGCTGCGGGTCTGGACGTGTACAGCTCTTCACTAGGGCCTCCTCTTCCCATCACAATGGCCAGCAGAGTCACCAGAAGAATGTCACAATACAGGAACTGCTGGTCTGCTACGCTCGTCTTCACCTGGACACACATCAAGAATGATTATTTAGGGGAGAAAAAAAACAAAACAAACCTGTGTGATTTAGGACTTTGTTTTGTTTTCATGCAGATCAAGTCAACCGGACTGTGGTTCTGTTTGGCATTTGGTGTTAAGAGACTGCACAGGTCACATTTTATGGGCTACCAAAGTGTTCAATATTAAGTGAAAGAACATTTTCCACATTTTAAAGTTGGAGCTCCACATACACACAGTCATTTCCATTTGCTTCTAAGAATAACAGTTAAAACTGCTTTTTTTGACGAGAGCTGAACAGAATGCAGTGTGCTTTCGCTCATGCCGTCTTATTAAAGTTTTTGGCCACATTCATTTCTCACTACCTGTAGACCAGGTTGTACTGTTTTGGGTTTTTTTGGGGGGGGGGGTTTGACCCTTGGCAGCGAGAAGTCCAATCAAGCACTTGTGATAACTTGCAATGAATGTTTCACATCGCTGTGGAGGAACTTTGCTCAACTTTTCTTCGGAGAACTGCTTTCATTCAGCCAAAGCGGAGGGCTTTCCAGCATGAGTGACCTGGATGACCTTCAATGAGCTCTTGGAGTATTTTTGGTAGGCTTGCCACTGTAGGTCCACCACTGTTCCGAGTTTTCACCATTTGTGGATCATGTCTCTCTCTGTGGATCCCTGGAGTCCCAAACCATCAGATATTTAACCCTTTCCAGACTGATAGATGTTGATTAATTTGTTTTTAAGCTGCTTTTTGAGATCTTTTTGCCTGTTTCGCCTTGTCAAACAGGTCCCGTTATTTCTTTATCCAACAGATCTGCTGGTAATCAGGCCTGGGTGTGAAACTGAACTCATCGTTTAAAAAAAAAAAAATGCATCTAATCACATTAATTCATAATTAATATAGAGGGTGGGATGAAGAGGGGGCAATAACCATTTCCCACAGGGCCAGGTAGGTCTGGATAGCTTTTGGCTATCCAGACCTACCAAAATGCAGGTATCATTACACCTGTTTTGTGTTATCTTTGTCTTTGCTTATCTGAAACATGTGTAACGTTTATTATGAGTTATTTATACACATATTTTCATACATTTTTAGTTTATTTCAGTCATTTTATCCATAAAATGTATGTTTTGGTTTATTTCTACAATGGATGAAAAGCTGGCAATAAATTGCAGCTTCATGTTTAAGGTGATCTACGGGGACAAAGCAGAGAAAGATGAGGGAGTTGTGATCTGCTGATACTCACCGTGTAGAGGATGATGACAGAGCAGAACTGAATGAGGCTGTAGAGGGCCATGTATCTAAAGAGACTGAAGGAGGTGACCAGAGAACATCGTCCCTCTCTGAATGGAAACGGGGGGAAAAAAAGGACAGATCTTTTTCTTTTTGCAGACACAAATGAGAAGTTTGGTTGGTTTTCAAAAAGACTTCCCCCATCTGCTTTGTGTTTTTCTAGGCTTTTAATCTCAGTCTTTACCTGATAAGCAGGGGCACACAGCTGATGTCTTCAGTTTTGGAAGTAAAAGGTGAAGCAACTGAAGCCTCAGCTTCGGAAAGAGAAACCCCGACATCAGCAGCTCTTAGTGCCCCGCAGTCATTGGCCCCGTCTCCACACATCCCCACTCGGTAGCTTCAGAAACAGTAGCAGTATTTCACAGTTAATGTTATAAAAATGATTCCCTTTCATTATATTTCTACTCTGTTTTATTTCCCATTTGTTCTCCTTATGTGTCAACTCCTTTCTAGTTTGTGTATGCTGCAGAAACTGCACTCACTTCAGTTTTTGCAGCTCCTTCACTAGCTGGGTTTTCTGGTCAGGGGCCATGCGTGCAAATATCGTGGCTCTCATCAAAACCTGCAGTGACAGCAGGTTAAAGTCATTAGCGTGCACGTGCGGTGCACTGTCAAAGTATTCCTGTTTACACAGTTTCCATTACCTTCGGCAGATACTCAGGGAAGTGGTCACAGAGGACAGCAAAGGACTTGCCATTGATAGCCAAGTGATAGACAAAACCACCCTGATACAAACCCTGAGAGAGGAGGAGAGACATCAGTAACAGTAACTCGAATGAATCCTGCCGGTTGAAAAAAAGTAGGCCATAGCTGGACTTGTTATGCATACAACTGTCATAGAAACAGAAAGCATTCAAGCTGTTTAGAAATGTGTTGACATGAGAGAGAGTTGAAGAACATACCATTTCATTTGCCTTCAAAGCTGCACAAATTTGCTTCCATTAAAAATGAACTATAACCAGGCAACAATATGAGTCCTCGACTTTACTTGAGCACTGAGGTCATTTACTTCCATGTTTGCAGGCCACAGGCACAAACACAGAAACCAGGCGTGACATCAGTGAGCAACACTTCAACCGGAACTCTTTCACAACGTAGCCGTTTCATAATTTCATAGCTGCTAGTATGACTGTAACAAACATTTTAGCAACCGAGTACAATCCAGAGTGGAGTGTCCCATTTAAGCAAGACCAACCTGAGTGATGACCTCTACTGAACTTTGGCCAGAAAGAGCCGCTTCCTCCTCCAGGCTGAATCTCAGGGTGGGCATGGACTGGGCAGTGTGGGGGGTTGCAGTGATGAATATCACCTTCTCGTCAGATCCCACCATCCCACAGGTTTTTGCTACATTAACTGCTGTTAGAACATTGTCCCCTATGGTTAAAAAGACACACAAGATGGGACAAAAAGACTTTTAAAAAACCCATCTGTGTCGATTCCTGCAACTTACTATCTTATAACAAGAAATATTATAAGTTGCACGGTCAGTGATGAATACAAAAACATTCCTCACCAGTGACCATAATGCTGCGAACCTTCGCCTTTCTCAGGAT